GTCTAGCTCTTTCAATCGTAGCCGTTGGATTAGATATGTTGTTGTTCAACACCGTGATCGTCCTCCTACCATGATGGTGATATGGGTGATTACGACTATGATGAAGATAATTATAATACTTTGTCATACATGACTTTATTGGTGGCCATCCCACGACTTCGCTATTTTCCTCCTCACTATAACAAAATTTAATGAAATAATATAAGACTTTGAATAATTTACATGCCTCCCAATTAAGTATAACTACAACATCATAATTTTCAAACAAACTTAGAATTCGTTTTATTATATAACAATAAATTACTAGCTAGTTTAACCTAGTTATTGTCAAATATATAGTTAGTATACTCACTCATAAACAATTGAAGAGTCGGAATCCAAATGATCTTCATCTTCCTCGTTTGGCTGGCCATTGAAAGAAAACAAACGCGGTTTTGGCACATAAGAATCTTCTTCGTTATTCTCCAATCCAAACGTCGACTCAAGACGCAGTTTTTCGGTATTCAAACAAGACGCAACACCCTCAATCGCGCAATGCTTGTTGAGGTCAAATTCAAATCCTAACTTTGAAGAATTAGTATGAGGTGAAAGAGAGAGACCAAGATCCAATTCCATTTCTAATGCGGCTTCGCCTTTGATGAAAATAAAAGTATATGTGTCCTTTGTTATTTGGCTTTGGAAAAGGTTGTGTGGGTGGGTGCTTGATTAGAGGATCATGAGTATTCACTATTTATAGGAAAGGGAAAGGGTACAAAAGTCAAGGAGGGATACATGGCTTTATCATGAATATAATACTCACACAAATTTAGTATTAGATGTCGATGGATGTGTCTCTATTGTCTATGATATCTTAACCAACAAGATATATATAATCTAAATAAGTAATCAGTAAAATATTGGACTACTAATAAGTTTTGTCGTTGAATCCTGAACTTTTAGTTCATATATGTTCTTGAACCAAAATCTAGAACATTTATTTGACAAGAAAAAAATCCTATCTTCAAAAAAATTACATCGTATTTCAATTCAAATCCAACATGATTGAAATCGTTTCACCAGTTAAAAGTAAAATACGTTTGGGTGAAAAGAATAATTATACTACTAGTTATCTATCTAAAATATACTATCAAATAGCTTATACAAGACAAAAATCAACTACGATGTATGAAATGATATATAGTTCAGAAAATAACACAAATTCGATCCCAAAAAGAGGGATGCTAAAGAAGTTTTGTTTTTTTTTTCTTTCTCTTTCTTATACATAGAATTTATGGCTTTCACATTAAGCTAAAGGTAGTGAGGCAATTCTCAATTAACAAAAGCAAAAAGTTCGTAGTTCTCAGAAGGGAAAAAATGTCTTTTGGGAGAGAAGTAATGACTTCCGACATTGATTAAGTTTGGGTCGGCCAATATCCCAACATTGATGCGAACACAATTTTTCATTATTTATCTAATTCTTATGCTTTTCAAATATAAAATACATTATAAATTGTTTTTATATTCAACATCTATATTCTCTTACCTTGGATAACAATTTTTTTTCGTTTACACCATTAACGTTATAGTCGAGTCATATTCTTTGAGTTCGAATGGAAATCTTGCGAAATAGGACGAAAAAGAGTTAGACGGTTTAAATAGTAACAAAAATCCATATATAAAGTGTGTATTAAGATTTTGAAACATACTACTAACTTATTAATTTGAAATTCTATAATATGGCGGAAACATTATTATAATTGAACCATATGTTTTCAGTCAAACTTTTACCTAGTTACAAATATATTAATTACTTAAACACATATCAGCAGTGAAGGAGGGTTTATTGATTCTTTAGGTCTTTTTAATTCAATGTACGTGCTGCTAGTATTCTATTCAATTCTATAGAGTTCTTGAAACATAGTTTATGTTATTTTATAATTTATCTTATAAAGCAAATATATTTCTGATGTCCAATATTAGTATCTCCCCAACTACAATTAAAAGTTTTTGTAAGTTTGTGTTTACAAAGAAATGTGAGTTGTTTTAGAGAGAAAAAAAACAAGTTTTTATATTGACTTTTTGCAGTTGCTATCACAAAAACGGTGTTTATTATTTTCCAAAATAGATAATTGCCCCCGAATAAATCTGAACGAATATGAAAAGGTTGTTGAACATTTTCTTTACTAGAAGACAGAAGATTGCAAAACTAATAATGGTTTTGAATAGAAATGGACTGTCTAAACCGTCTTACATTGTATAGTAACAAAGATCTATACTATTTATATGTATGTGTTTTTATTACTATTTAAACCGTCATGCACATATCTAATCTAAGACCGAAATATCACCATTTAAACGTCAACAACTCATATATGCACACACTTATAGTTCATTCCGAGTTATATATATATAACACTATGAAGACCAATTTGTTGCTAACTTGCTATGTTCGCATCATTAATTCACATTTATCGTAATAACAAATCAACGTACTTATTTAAAAATCAAAGCAAGTACTGAAAAAAGGATAAATTAAAGTGCATTTACACTAGCTAATAAAGAAATAAGAAGAGGCACCGTCAAGGGACACGTGATTCAACGAATTTAGACCTCCAAAACATCAAACCAACATGAGTATTAATAGACAAGTTTGTTTAATGTTGGAACGGACAGCTTCCCATATTTTTGTTTACATTCTATGTTTCTAATAGAAAATTGTCTCACACGTTTAAAAAAAAAAAATGGAATATAAAAATTGTTTTATCCAATATAACGTGATGATACTCAAATTGATAACTGTGGGTAATAGCAAACTCTGATTTTTGTTTTCAGCTTGTCACAGTTTTGTTAACCTATTTAGAGACAACTATCACTGATTCACTTACTAAGCATTTTCTAGCCCGATTCAGTATCCAAATTTTGACTTTACTCCAAATAGTTGGGGAAAAGTTACATCAACTTATGAATAATGGATACTGAGTGTCTGCCTAGATCCTGAGCTTGATTTCACTGCTCTATTTAGGAATGAACATTTTATTATTTATTTTAACAAGTGTTTTGCTTTTGTAACAAACAAAAAAGTGGAACTTATACCTTTTTGATTTGTAGACTCGAACTCATAACCTAGTCACCTCCTCCCCAAATGGTTTATCGGATACAACTGACTGAATTTCCGACGATCTGATTTTACTGGGAAGTGTGTTAAAAATGAATTAGACAATTTGGTCGAACAGATTTAAAATATACATAAAAAGCAAAAAAATTGCCAAAGACTAGAAAAGTACAGTAAATAATGGCTAGAAGAATATTGTTTTGGTAAAAATGTTATTCGTCTATACTCTTCTATTTGTTTTACTCTATGTTATATCATTCTATTTCAGTTGTTGCTTGACATTGACATATGTTTGTTTCCATTTAAAAAAGAAAAGATTGTTGGTAAAAAGGATATATATGGTGTGCCTAACACAATATTAAAACCCTAAGCCATAACCTTTTTAAGATATAATTTCGTAAGATATGAAATTGGATTACGAAAGTGACACTTGAGTATGAAGTCTATATCATATTAATATGAAATTTGGTTGGTCTCTATATGTTTTTTAGATCAACCAAACAGATGAGAGAAGAGGGTGAAACATCAACGTGAATGTCACGTGAAGGGAGTAGTGCGTGCGTGACTACTCGTGCCATAGTGTCGGGTCGACCACTGAAGTAATGGGCTTTAAAAGTTGAAGGACCATATGGCTTTTGTGGGAACCACTTTTACACTTAGTCTACCTCGTTGGATCGATCATGTTTTGTTGAAATACCATAGAAATTTGCAAATTTTAAATCTAAATTTTGCAAAACTTCCCCCAAATAATAATTAATTTTTATACTTGCAACGTTAACTTTTATATAATTAAATAACCCATGCACCAACATCTTTAGTTGAAATACCATCAAAATTTGCAAGAATTTTAGACAAGATTAAAATTCAAACATGACCGATCCAAAACATCGACAAGTGAAGCGAGCCTCGCGTGTTTAGACATCAATTTTTTCTTATAACATATTGCATTCAGTTGTGAATCGAAAAGAGAACCTTTAACATGTCATTAACTTTAGGATATCAATAGCATATCTAACTTGAAAACCTTTAGATTATTATTTTTTAAGTATCTAAATACTTAACATGTTAGGAATCCGACATCATAAATAAGTTTGAAACCTAATGTTATCTTGATATGAAAACATTAAGATATTCTTATTTTAAAATTGGATGCGAGTAATGAAGCAGAGGTACAAAAAGGATAAAAATTATAGATATGTGCCCAAATCCAATAATAGACACATAATTTACCGACAAGAAACCTAATCCACTAAGAAAATTCAAGATCTAGAAAAATAAAAGATGGTGAGATATAAAGATGCACGTGGGAAGAAACATGAAAGGATAGAAAGTGTTTTGTTTGAGTGAGAGACACAAACAAGTGTAAGAAAAAGGAAAGTGAATGAATGAAGCTCTCTTTTAACTCAAAACACTAACTGGAAAAAAAAGAGTTTTGAGTGTTTTTTTTCTGGACAGCTTTGGCTTAATGTCTTGTCTCGATCATGTTGTAAATACCAAAGTCTTATCATGTTTTTTGTCTGTCTCCTCTCAACTACTGTTTTACGAATCGTACCACAAACTTGCCTCATTCATTCACCATTCTAGTTTCTTGATCCAAATTGGCAAGCGATTATTAACTCCTTTTAGAAGATATTTTAGTGAGTTTTGGAAATTTGTGATTTAAGTTGTTTTTCTTACATTCTCTCTTATTTTTTTAGTTAAAAATGTAAATATCATATAAAATGAAGATGATTAGGTATTACATGAGTGCATCACCTAGTATAAAACAACTTTTACAAAAAAAAAAAAAGAGTAAAAAGAAAGTTGTAATAAATTTGGGTTAGACTTGAGTGTAGTTACCAAATCGAAAAAAGCATTAGCTCCCTTCATTTTTTCCCTTTTCGTTCTAGGTTTGATTGTGTTTCGAACATTTTAGCTCAAGAAGTTGAAAAGAAGAATGAAGCTGTAGCCATCTCTGTTACTGAAAAACCAAAGCAAAATATGATCTCCTACGAAATCTAGGCTCAAATGTAATATAGATGCCCCTTGGTGAAAGAAAAACAGAACATGAGGTGGAACTTGGGTCCTTAGAGATTTTAGAGGGTTTGTGGTAATGCATATATAGTAGGAATTTTTGTGTGTGTGTTATTGATAGTAAATCAAATGCTAATCTGATGGCAATGTTGTGGGCTATAGAAAGTTTGAAGTTTCACAACTTCGACAAATGGTCTAAATGATAGCGGAGGAATTTTGCGGAAATGTGGAATCTTGCGAAATTTTTTATGATCTTTTGCGGAATCCAACATAATTATTTTGAATGTAAATGGTAACAGCTAAATTTTGCGGAATGTAGAG